AATACTGCATGGGAGGTGGTTAGAGGAGCAGGGAGGAGCAGGATTGGACCTAGGAGCTTCTATTGAGGAAGCCCTAAAGAGGTGGCACGACCTCCAGTTGCTCTGGTTCCAGCCCTTATTTTTGGCTTTTGTGTCCCATTACAGAGAAAGAGCATCAGGGGGTCCAGAGGCAGCTGACTTCTCTGACCAGCTCTCCTTAGGGAACAGCAGGGAGCCTCGGTGTGGACGAGGGGCCCTACTAGCTCAGGCCTGCCGGGACCTCCCCAGCATCCGCAGCTGCTACCTGAGCCACTGCTCGCCAGCCCGAGCCAACCTGCAGGCCTCCCAGGCTTTGCACCGAGGGGAGCTACAGCAAGTCCCAACCCTGCTGCTGCCTGTGCCTAAGGAGCCATTGCTGCCCACCGACTGGCCCTTCCTGCCTTTGATTCATCTCTACCACCAGGCTTCAGATATCCCCTCAGGGCTCCCTCCCACTGACACTGTGGGGACAGCCATGCGGGTCCTGCAGTGGGTGCTAGTTCTGGAGAGCTGGCGCCCCCAGGCCCTCTGGGCTGTGCCTCCTGCTGCCCGCCTGGCACGGCTCATGTGTGTGTTCCTGGTGGACAGTGACCTGTTCCGGGAGTCCCCAATACAGCATCTGGTGGCAGCCCTCCTATCCCAGCTCTGTCAGCCTCAAGTCCTGCCAAGCCTCAACCTGGACTGTCCACTTCCTGGCCTGACATCTTTCCCTGACCTCTATGCCAACTTCCTGGATCATTTCGAGGCTGTCTCTTTTGGGGACCACCTCTTTGGAGCTCTGGTCCTTCTTCCCCTGCAGCGTCGGTTCAGTGTCACCTTGCGCCTTGCCCTATTTGGGGAACACGTGGGAGCCTTGCGATCTCTGAGCCTGCCTCTGACCCAGGTACTTCCTCAGCCCAGCAGAGCCTGCCAGGGGTGTCCTGTATTGGCTCTAGGGACAATCCTGAGCAGGGGGAGCTTTAGCAGGCCTCATGTTCCTCACCTTACCTCTTCTGAGCTTTCAGGGGATTGAGAGAATCCATGAAAAGGGTTTAACATGGTATCTGACATATACTAGGTGTTTGTTATTATTAACAAACTATGACTTTCTCATAAGTGCTACAATCTAAGAAAGAAGAGATTTACTGTAAACCAGAATAGCTCTGAATTGTTCAGATTCTAGGTGTTAAGTCAGCATTCAGAAAAGGGAAAGATCAAAGTAGACTTCCCATAAGGAGAACACTTTGTGGAAGAAGTAGGGATCGACCTGGGCACTGAAGGTTGGGTAGAATTTGAATTGTTGAAGAGGTAGAAGGGCAAGATCTTCCTAATAGAACAACATAAGCAAAAGCTCAGTGGCAGAAAGGAGCATGACAAAAGATAGGAGGGAGGAGAGAGTTCTGTTGGGAACTTGTTGGAAACAGGGCTAAAAATAAGAAGCAAAGTCTTAGAGGGCTGGAGCACAGGAGTTCGAGGTTGTGATGAGCTATGATGATGCCACTGCACTCTAGCTGTAGTGACAGAGCAAGACTCTCAAAAAAAAAAAAAAAATTATTGTCCGGGCGTGGTGGCTCACGCCTGTAATCCTAGCACTCTAGGAGGCCGAGGTGGGCGGATCGCTCAAGGTCAGGAGTTCGAAACCGGCCTGAGCAAGAGTGAGACCCTGTCTCTACTAAAAATAGAAAGAAATGAATTGGACAACTAAAAATATATAGAAAAAATTAGCCGGGCCTGGTGGCGCATGCCTGTAGTCCCAGCTACTCAGGAGGCTGAGGCAGAAGGATCGCTTACGCCCAGGAGTTGAGGTTGATATGAGCTAGGCTGATGCCATGGCACTCTAGCCTGGGCAATAGAGTGAGACTGTCTCAAAAAAAAATTATAATATAATCCATTGTGTAGATGCATTCCAATTTTCTCAGAACCTCTTGCTGGCCTTGTAGATTGTTGCAGACTTTTTGCCATTTTAAGTAACACTGTGATAAACAGTGTTGGACATAAACTTTCTCTGCGTTTCTCTTGTAATCATTTCTCTGTGAAGTTAAGAATGACTTTTTAAAGCCGGGCGCGGTGGCTCACGCCTGTAATCCTAGCACTCTGGGAGGCTGAGGCGGGCGGATTGCTCGAGGTCAGGAGTTCGAAACCAGCCTGAGCAAGAGCGAGACCCCGTCTCTACTATAAATAGAAAGAAATTAATTGGCCAACTAATATATATATAAAATTAGCCGCGCATGGTGGCGCATGCCTGTAGTCCCAGCTACTCGGGAGGCTGAGGCAGCAGGATTGCTTGAGCCCAGGAGTTTGAGGTTGCTGTGAGCTAGGCTGACGCCACGGCACTCACTCTAGCCTGGGCAACAAGCGAGACTCTGTCTCAAAAAAAAAAAGAAAAAGAATGACTTTTTAGAAAGAGAATTAACTTACCCAAAGAACATGAACTTTGAGAAGTTTGTTAATAATGGAGCAGTTGAGACCGGGCGCGGTTGCTCACCCCTGTAATCCTAGCACTCTGGGAGGCCGAGGCAGGCGGATTGCTCGAGTTCAGGAGTTTGAAACCAGCCTGAGCAAGAGCGAGACCCTGTCTCTACTATAAATAGAAGGAAATTAATTGGCCAACTAATATACATAGAAAAAAATAGCTGGGTGTGGTGGCGCGTGCCTGTAGTCGCAGCTACTCGGGAGGCTGAGGCAGTAGGATTGCTTGGGCCCAGGAGATTGAGGTTGCTGTGAGCTAGGCTGACATCATGGCACTCACTCTAGCTTGGGCAACAAAGTGAGACTCTGTCTCAAAAAAAAAAGATAAATAAATAAATTAATTAATTAATGGAGCAGTTGGATATGACATTTTGAAAGTTTTTATTTTAAAGTATTAAGTGGTAGACATTCACAACTGCTTCTCAGTTCCCAGTTTCCCTTGCTTTCTGGTCTTTAGCCTTTAGCCTTGATCCTTGTGTTAGAGAAGGATTGATGTCTGTCTGAGACCTGATCTCTGTCCTTATGATTTGGTTTCATGTGACTATCAACCATCCACCTTGTAGTCCAGTGATGTACATTCCCACCCTCCCCTTCAATACGTCTCATTTTCCGTCACAGTTGCCTGTGTCCCTGGAGTGCTACACGGGGCCTCCTGAAGACAACCTGGACCTCCTTCAGCTCTACTTCCGGGCCCTGGTTACTGGTACACTCCGTCCACATTGGTGTCCTGTGCTCTACGCTGTGGCTGTCGCTCATGTCAATAGCTTCATCTTCTCCCAAGACCCAAAGAGCTCAGTAAGTTACATTCCCATCTTCAGAAGGAGGAAGGGAACTAGCAATCGAGCTGTCCCTGGGCCATCTGGGGAAGAGGTGAGGGTCAGGCGATGCCCTGGGGCGAGGTGGTGGGTCCCAGCCCTTGGCTCAGTGCCACCTCTCCCTGTTTTGCGTCTAGGATGAGGTAAAGGTGGCCCGTGGGAGTATGCTGCAGAAAACCTGGCTGCTGGCAGATGAGGTAGGGTGAGGGCCATTAGGAGGGTGGGAGATTAGAGGGTCTTGGGGGACAGAGACCTCAGCAACATCTCACTATTCACTTCATAAAGTTTCTTCCCTCTCCGCAGGGTCTCCGGCAGCATCTCCTCCACTACAAGCTTCCCAATTCTACCCTCCCAGAGGGCTTTGAGCTGTATTCTCAGTTGCCCCCTCTGCGTCAGCTTTACCTCCAGAGACTGACCTTATCGGTGCCCCGAAATGGGGTATTAGAGGTCTAGTATAGTTGCTACATTCTCCTGTATCCATCTTACCAACAGACGCCTGGCCAGACAGACAGAAGGGTATTATGTTCTAAGAGTAGGCAGGAGACAAAGGAGCAGAATGCCTGCCCTCCTGGGAGCAGGTAGTTGGAGCTTTTTTGGAGCAGAATGAACCCTACCATTACATCCTGATATCTGGAGCTCAGGACCTGGGGCTTTTGAGGGCCAGAGCTGGGAGTGATGGGTGACTTACCTATTTACCCTCTCTTTGGGAACAGGACAGTCTAAGTACACCTCTCCTTACCTACTCCCAGCCCCTGCCCTAGGCTGAAGTATATGAATGCTATAGCTGTGCATTGAAATAAAAATTTTTAAATCCAATGGGTATCTGTTTGTTTGTTTGTTTGTTTTTTTAAATAGAGATGGGTTCTCACTCTTGCTCAGGCTGGTCTCAGACTCCTGAGCTCAAGCAATCCTCCTGACTTGGCCTCCCAGCGTGCTAGGATTACAGGCGTGAGCCGTTGTGCCCAGCCTCTACTGTGTATCTGATTTGGACCAATTTCACTCTTTTTAGTTCAGGGTTGGTGTCAAGGGGTAAGTTATCCCAGGGGAGGAGAGAGATAAAGGAATCATGAGTGGGAGATAAAAACTAAGTCCACATATGGGCATAATAAGGATGTGGGTCTTTCTGGGCATGGTGTTGCATACCTTAGTCCCAGCTAGTCGGAAGACTGAAGAGGGAGGAGCACTTGAGCCCAGGAGTTAGAGTTCAGCCTGGGAAACATAGTGAGATCCCCAAAAAGAGACCTCTAAAAAGAATGTGGGTCCTATTTCCTAGATGGTTCCAGGCCAGGGCAACACTCATGAGAATGGGGGTACTTTTGGAAGAACTCTGTCAGCAGTCCAGTAGGAGTATATGTGTCCATAATGAGGTCATCATCTACTTTTCTTGTGGTTCTCTATTTCTGGCAACTGGTATTATAAGCCCCAAAGAAGCCAAAAGTCAGATTGCTGTAGTAGCTGTCCTGCAATACCATTTCCACTGTGGACTTTATTGGTAGTAGGCATGGCCAGGGAGGAGTAGATCAAAGCATAAATCAGGCCAGACCCAGTGGCTCTAATCCCAGCACTTTGGGAGGCTGAGGCGGGAGGATTGCTTGAGGCCAGGAATTTGAGGTTCCTGTGAGCTAGACTGACGCCATGGCACTCTAGCCCAGGCAACAGAGTGAAACTCTGTCTCAAAAAAAAAAAAATAAAAGAGGAGGGGCATAACCTCTGGTTCATCTCTATTTTGATAGTTTCTATGTTGTTCTTCTGTCTAAATTCTTACAGACTATTACACCATCACTTGCTGTATGAAATTACTTATTGTGTTTGTGGGTCATCAGGATGAATTCAGTGCACCAGGCCTGGCCCTGTCGGTAAGTAGAGAGAACCCACTCTGTAAATGGAGCTGCTGAAACATGAAATTGTCTATTTGGTTTTATTAAGCAACTACTATATCTGCAAATACCAATGGTTCTCAAACTTATGTGACAAAAATCACCTAGAGAGTCTGTTAAAACAATGCTGGGCCCTACCACTAGAGTTTTTGATTCAGTACATCAGGGGTGAAACCCAAGAATCTGCATTTCTAACAAGTTCTCAGGTGATAGTGATGCTGTTGTCTAGAACCCACCACATTGGGGCAGAGGGAGCAAAAAAAGAAAAGAAGAAGAACCAACCACAATTTGAGAAGTAGCGGCTTGGCTTACAGGGATCTTGAAAAATAAACTGTGATCTCATAGTGCAATGTCTACACAGTTAACTATGGCATGGATATCAAGAGTTTTTACAAAATCACTGTTGTGTCTACACCTTACATTATACACAGACTTTACCAAATAGTTATTATTTTTTTTATTTTTGGAGACAGAGTCTTGTGGAGTGCCGTGGTGTCAGCCTAGCTCACAGCAACCTCAAACTCCTGGGCTCAAGCAATCCTCCTGCCTCAGCCTCCCGAGTAGCTGGGACTACAGGCATGCGCCACCATGCCCGGCTAATTTTTCTATATATTTTTAGTTATTGAGCTAATTTCTTTCTATTTTTAGTAGAGATGGGTTCTCACTCTTGCTCAGGCTGGTCTCGAACTCCTGAGCTCAAAGGATCCACCCACCTCAGGCTTCCAGAGTGCTAGGATTATAGGCGTGCGTCACTGCGCCCGGCCCAAGTAGCTATTATAACTTCTTTTTTCAAGTGTTTTATATTGAACATAGGTCTCAGACTTTCAAATTAGTCATGTTGAACAAAAGATTTAGTACCCAAGACACAAAACCACCTGAAGGCCAAGTGGCCCTCACAGTTACAGGGTGCCTTGTAGTTTACAGAGCCACTTCCCTTCATATGATTTTACAGGTGGTGGGAAAACTGTCTCAGATCAGTTGTGTGGCCTGTGCTACAACACCCATTGACTAGAGATGCGAGTACTAGCACTCAGATCTTCTGATATATGGTCCAGTACTTTACCCCATCACAGTAAGAGGTTGTGCAGAGGTGTAACGCAATGGAATTGTATGAGGCCAGCAAGGGAGGTTCAGCCTTGCACTCATAAAGGCACTGAAAGACATAAGGAATGACAAGTAATGAGCCCTTCCTTGGAGCAGTTTTTGTTGCCCAGGCTAGAGTGCCATGGCATCAGCCTAGCTCACAGTAACCTCAAACTCCTGGGCTCAAGCTATCCTTCTGCCTCAGCCTCCCGAGTAGCTGGGACTACAGGAATGCACAACCATGCCCAGTTAATTTTGTCCAACTAATTTCTTTCTATTTTTGTAGAGATGGGGTCTCGCTCTTGCTCAGGCAGGTTTTGAACTCCTGACCTTGAGCGATCTGCCCGCCTCGGCCTCCCAGAGTGCTAGGATTACAGGCGTGAGCCACTGTGCCTGGCCAGGAGGCCGAGGCGGGCAGATCGCTCAAGGTCAGCAGTTCAAAACCAGCCTGAGCAAGAGTGAGAACCCCGGGTGTAGAAAAATAGAAAGAAACTAATTGGCCAACTAAAAATACATAGAAAAAATTAGCCGGGCATGGTGGCGCTTGCCTGTAGTCCCAACTACTGGAGAGGCTGAGGCAGTAGGATCGCTTGAGCCCAGGAGTTTGAGGTTGCTGTGAGCTAGGCTGACGCCACAGCACTCTAGCCTGGGCAACAGAGTGAGACTCTGCCTCAAAAAAAAAAAAAAAAAAAGTACTCCCCATGTGGGATCACAGGAGCACACCCACCACCACCACTACTGCTCCTGTCCTTAGGAACGTAGAAGTCCGTGCCTGATGTCTGGGATGGGACACCTCCCCTACCTGGAGCCCACCACGCTCGCCGGGGCAGCCTGGGGCACACCGGATGGCTGGAGACCACGGCACCTGCGCACGGGCTGCGCAAGGCTGCTCCCGGAAGCGTGGGGACCCCGCTGCCCTCACGCCCCGCCCTTTCCTCCTCCAGCATCCTGGGGTCCGAGGTGGGCGTGGCCGACCGGCTATAAGCCTGGGCTGCAGTGGCTGGGTCTGAGCTGTCAACTTCAGGTGCAGCGGACCGAACGGGCGATGGACAGCCGGGGCCGGCTGCTGCTGTGGCTCGGAGCCGCGGGTAAGTGCGGTCTGGCGGTCAGGAAACCGCCCAGCCAGAGGCACCTTCCTGAGCTTGGGGACGGGCAGTCGCAGCAGGCCGTGCCCCCAGTGGCCTCGAACCCTCGTGGCCAAACTTCCCCGTCCGTGCTCCTGGAGTGAGGGCGGAAAGCGCGAATCCGAGGACCCGGATCACCGAGCTTGGGAAGGAGGGACAGCCCCCCGGGTCTCAGCACTGCCTGCGGGCCAGGCCCCCAATCTGAGTGCTGCAAGGATTGGGGCGAGGGCTGCAGAACCGAGCTCAGTGCGCCCGGTCACTGGGAAGCGCTCTCGAGGAGAGAAACTGGTGGAGGCATGAGCGGGCTCCCGCCGGGCTTCTGCCACTGAGGTTGGGTTGCGGCGGGCCTGCAGGAGCGAGCGAGCCCTGGTGCGCGGCGCGGCTTGGGTGTGGCGCGGGCAGCGAGGGCTGCTGTTGCGGGGTTACCTCTGAATCTCTTTACCTCTTATCTCCTGTCCCTCCCTCCCCGTTAACATTCTGTGCCCTCTCCCTACACCGCTGGCTCCCTGTCACCTTTCAGGCACCATTCTCTGCTCCAGCTCAGGGTCCCAGGTGCGCTTTCCGTTATCCTCGCCCCTGCCAGCTCCCAGCTCCCGGGACCCGAAAGTCACCGCCCCGCTTAGCGGCGTGGAGCCAACTCTCCCGTTAAATCCCTCAGGTGGGTTCCCGGCTCCTCCCTTCTCTTCCGCTTACCATGCCCAGACCTTGGCCGGCGGGGGGCTCGAGCCTTTCCTCCCTGCTTGCTCCCAGGCACCGAGCGGTCTTGGCAGTTCTCCACCTGCGGGGCCAGCGGCCGGCGCGGGCCCACACAGGCACAGTGCGATGGGACGTACGCGGGGAGCGGCGTGGCGGTCACTGTGGGCGCCGCCGGGCGGCTGAGAGGCGTGCAGCTGTGGCGGGCGCCAGGCCCCGGCCAGTACCTGTAAGCGCCGGCCGGGCTGGTGGGCGGGCCGGGTGGGCGATGCCCCGCGATTCTGCCGTTCGGTCAAGCGAGGCCACGTACCGCAGCGACACCCAACCAGGGCGACCCAGTGCTCCTCCTTCCAGCGACCCCCGGGAAGTGTGGCGGTAGAAGCCACCGAGTTAGGCCGGGCGCGGTGGCTCACGCCTGTAATCCTAGCACTCTGGGAGGCCTAGGCAGGCGGATTGCTCGACCTCAGGAGTTCGAAGCCAGCCTGAGCAAGAGCGAGACCCCGTCTCTACTATAAATAGAAAGAAATTAATTGCCCAACTAATGTATGTAGAAAAAACCAGCTGGGCATGGTGGCGCATGCCTGTAGTCCCAGCTACTCAGGAGGCTGAGGCAGGAGGATTGCTTGAGCTCAGGAGTTTGAGGTTGCTGTGAGCCAGGCTGACGCCACGGCACTCACTCTAGCCTGGGCAACAAAGTGAGACTCTGTGTCAAAAAAAAAAAGCCACCGAGTTAGCCTGTCCCCAGGAGCCCGTTCGCGCCCAGCAGAGGGCCCCCAACCAGCGGCAGCGCCAAAGGGTGGCTTGAGGCTCCCCCACCTCTACTAACACTCCTGAAATAAGTGTGAAAGTTAACGTTGCGGGCTGCAAATCTAGTCTTCCCATCCCGTCAAAGCCTCTAAGTCCTTCAGACACAAAATCCGGGAGCCGCGGCTGTCGCCCACCTCTGCCTGGAGCGGCCGGCAGGAGGGCGACGGCGGGGCCTCAACGCCGGCCTCCCGCAGGATCTCAGCCTACGGCGCCGCGGGCGGCAAAGGCGCCAGGAACCACGTGTCGCGGGCGCACGGCGTCTTCGTCTCAGCGATCTTCTCCCTGAGTCGCGGGGAGCCGCTTCACATCCTCGTGGGGCAGCAGGGAGAGGACGCCTGTCCTGGGGTAAGCGGGCCGGAGGGGGGTAGACGTTCCCTCTTTGGTGCCCGACACCGGCGCAGCGAGGGGAGGGTCCCGGGCCCGGCTGATTCCCGCCCCTGGTGCTCGCAGGGTAGCCCGGGGAGCCGGCTCGTCTGCCTCGGAGAGTCTCCGGCCGCTGGAGAGCACGCGGCGACGGACGGGACCGAAAGGGTCCCGGGGTCGCGGCGCTGGGCCGGAGGTGGCGGGGGTGGCGGTGGCGCCACCTACGTCTTCCGGGTAGGTGCTCCCCGGGCGCGGGTCGCCCTCGCCCCCAGCGCTCGGCGTTGGGGTCCCAGTCCTCTTCCCAGAGGCGCGCGCACGCGCTCTACGTCCGTCCCTCGGGGTCCCTCCAACCCTGTGCTGCGCGGGGAGCCCCTGCCATTTTTAGGCCCCCGGGACGGAGCTTCGCGCAGTGCGGGTGTCCTACCTCGACGGCTGGAGTGCGCGCCCCTCAACGCCCCGCTGGCCCCACAGCTGCGCGCTGGCGAGCTGGAGCCGCTGCTGGTGGCGGCCGGAGGCGGCGGTCGTGCCTACCAGAGGCAGCGGGACCGGGGCTGGGCTCAGGCCACCCCCGAGAAACTGGAGAACCGCCCAGCGGCGCCCGGGAGCGGCGGGAGAGGCGGGGCGGCAGGTGAGGGCGCCCGGCCGCGGGGAGGCGGGCGTGCTCCACAGCCGGCTGCCATCGCACTGTCGCTCCGCAGGTGGAGGGGGCGGCTGGACGTCGCGGGCGCTCTCCCCGCAGGCCGGCCGCTCACTGCAGGAGGGGGCGGAGGGCGGCCAGGGCTGCGCGGAGGCCCGGGCGACCCTCGGCTGGGCCGCGGCTGGCGGCTTCGGGGGCGGCGGCGGGGCCTGCACTGCGGGCGGAGGCGGCGGCGGCTACCGGGGTAGGTGCACCCCTGTGGAGGGCAGCCGGGCAGCCCAGAGGGTGAAGTGAGGTTAGAACCTTAGAAGAGGCCCTAGCCTTCAGAAGGGCTTGGTGGGAAAGGCGTTAAGTCTCCTTCAGCTGCTCCAGGCCAGAGCAGAAGCTCTTAGAAAAGGAGGTCAAATAAATTGCAAATCACACACATGCAGGCAGTCCTAGATTTTCATTTAAATCCAGGATACTTTCCATCACAACAGGTACCCTTCCTGTTGTGCAGTCCCTGGAACTCAGCACGCTGAGCAGGGAGACAGAAAGGCAGGATTGGTTTAAGTCAGTAGTTCTCAAAGTGTGTTTCTGGAACCTGTAGCCTCGGCACCACCTAAGTTGTTAGAAATGCAACTTCTCTAGGGCGGAGGAGCCTGTTGTGGAGATGTTAGTCAAAGGATTTCAGTTAGATAGGAAAAATAACTTCCAGAGATGTATTGTACAGCATAGTGGCTACAGTTAATACAATGTATTCTTAGCCAGGCCTGGTGGCCTCTAGTCCCACCCACTGGTGAGGCTGAGGCAGGGGGATGGTTTGAGCCCAGGAGGCAGCAGTGAGCTATGATTGTGCCCCCACACTCCAGCCTGAGCAACAGAGCCCTACCTCCTCTCTTTAAAAAAAAACAAAAAAAAAACATAGGCTGGGCGTGGTGGCTCAGGTCTGTAAGCCTAGCAGTCTGGGACGCTGAGTCAGGTGGATGGATCAAGGTCAGGAGTTCGAAACCGGCCTGAGCTAGAGTGAGACCTCATCTCTACTAAAAATATATAGAAAAAATTATCCGGGCATGGTGGCACGTGCTTGTAGTCCCTGGTACTCGGGAGGCTGAGACAGAAGGATTGCTTAAACCCAGGAGTTTGAGGTTGCTGTGATCTAGGCTGACGCCATGGCACTCTAGCCCAGGCAACAGAGTGAGACTCAGTCTCAAAATAAATAAATAAGCAAAAAATAAATAAATAAATGTATTCTTAAAAATTGCTAAGAGAATAGATTTTAAGTGGTCTCATCACAAAAAAATGATAAGTACGGAAGGTAGTGCATACGATGATTGGCTTGAATTAGCCATTGCATAATGTATGCATATCTCAAAACATCGTGTTAACACAATAAATATATACAATTTTTATTTTTTAATTAAAAAGAAATGCAAATCATCAGCCTCTCTCCACCCTACTGAATCATAAACTCTAGGGGAGAGTCCCAATGCTGTTTTAATCAGTCCTTTAGATGATGCTTCTGTCAAGAAACAACCTTTGCGTCTGGGCTATACTGTTTATAAATACTTTGCACACACAATCTACATTCTCACAGAAATGGAATGTGTGGGTTGTGCCTCTCCCATTTTATAGCTGAGAATATGGGATGGGAGGGGCTCAGACAGACAGGAGGTGTCCCAGCCAGCCTGAGCCAGGCCTTCAGGTTCTAGCTGATTACTCCCTCCCCACCTCTCTAGCCCCTGAGCACCTACTTGTGAACAGAAGCACTTGCATCAGAAGGCTCGTGTAGAGGAGGCCACACTGGGATTTCCACTGGGAGACGCTGGCTCCCCCATTGTTCATAAGCCAGCTTCCCAGCTGTGAGGCAGCTATGTGCCCCTTACTGCTCTCCCATCCCCCATCACCCTTCCTCCCTTCACCCCACCCCACTTTTGTAACCAAACCCTCCATCACTCTCAATTTCCAGGGGGCAATGCCTCAGAGACTGACAACCACTGGGCTAATGGGGAAGATGGGGTATCCTTCATACACCCCAGCAGCGAGCTCTACTTGCAGCCTCTGGCAGGTATTGGCCCCAACCCCCACCTCTCAGCCTACCTAGCCTTTTTCCTCAACCCCTGAACCCACTCCTCTAAGAGCCACCAACTCTACACTGGAAACCACCTAGTTTTTGCATAGCACAGGATCACTTGAGAAGTGGGCTGTCAGTTGTGATGCCATTATGGGGCATTCTGGAGTGCTTGTCAAGTGTTCCCCTGCTATAAGTTCTATTCAAATACTCGGGAGTTCAAGGTTTCCAGAAGAGTGTGCAGGCTTGTCAGAAGGCCCAGGCTCTCCCACCACCCTGTGTGCTTGGCACTGCTCCTTGCTCTAAAGTCCTGGGCTAGGACTAACCATGTGGCTTGAAAAGGCATGTATATCCTACCCCCACCCAGCCTCCCACATCCTCCCCAATCCCCATATCCCCCACCTCACCCACATCCCCCACACCACTCCCCACCATATGAGTTCTTTTACTGTCAGTCACAGAGAGCCACGGAGAGGTGGAGATCCGAAGGTATCTTAACTGCAGTCATTGCCCGTTGAGAGATTGCCAGTGGCAGGCAGAGCTCCAGTTGGCTGGATGCCTGTGCCCAGAGGGCATGGTGCTAGCTGTGGATAACATCACCTGCATGGGTATGCCCTACCTTTGCCCAAGGTCTGGACTCCTGGGATCACAGGCTGGAAGGGGCAGTAAGGCACTTGGAAAGATGGTATAGAGACCTACTGTGTGCCAGGCACTGTGTTGGGGATTAGAGGCCCATCGGTGCACACACTTTGCCTTCCAGGAGTATGTGGTCCAGTGTGGGAGGTGACATGGATATTTAGATATGGCTATGTAGATGTGTATCTCAACTGACAATTGCCATGGGAGGTATGAAGTATTTTAGAGGTTCCCAAAAGGGAGAGGTTGTGTCTCTCTAGGATAATAGCAGAAGGTGTGTTGGAAAGGTTAACACTTGAGCTGAGGCTTGAAGTTTGGGTGAAACTTGGGGTAAAGGGACAGGGAGCACCTTCCCACTGGAGGTGTCTCTCTTTCTCCCTAGACCTGCCCACCCCCCCAGGCCCTCTGGTTCTGATGGTGGCTGTGGTGGTGACCTTGACACTGAGCCTCCTTGTGGTGTGCGGGGTCCTGATTCTGGGTACGGAGCATCTAGCAGACACAGCAGATTCAAGGCTGCCCCCTCTCCACTGAGCTGTGGTGGTTTTCTGTGGGGTCCCAGGGGCACATGGGGCTGGCTTCCAGACCGCTACTCCCAATAGAGTAGTGGCAGACTCCTTTGGGGTTCTAAGACAGGAGGCAGCTGGGGAGGCCTGGGGAAAACATTTACTTTAAGGGGCATCTGTAGAGGTGTCCTGGGTGGGAGGCAGCATGGGCCTGATGGGAAGGCAGAGTGTGTGCTTTTGTTCTTCCCACCCCCAGTGAGCCAGAAGAAGTGGCAGGGCCTGTGGGGGATGAGGCTGCCAGGCCCTGAGCTTGAGCTGAGCAAGCTGCGAACCTCTGCCATCAGGACAGCCCCCAATCCTTACTACTGCCATGCGGGCCTTGGCCCAGCTCAGTCCTGGCCTCTGCCCGCAGGGCTCACCGAGGTTTCCCCAGCCAATGTCACTCTGCTCAGGTGAGTCCTCTGCTTCCATCTGAGAACCTGTGCACTCTGAATATACATCTCTAATCCTGCTCCCAGTTATGGTGAATTGCGGATCCCAGAGAACTGGCCCAAACTCCTTGTATAGGGGAGATAGAGGCCCCAAGAAGCTCCAAAAGGGGAAGTAATTTGCTCAAGGTCAGCTCTCAGCCCCAATTCTGGAATGGGAGGGAACTTAGAATATGACTCTTTTGGAGCCCAGGAGTTGCCTCCCTCCCGGGTGTCTGCAAGGACTTAAGGGAAGGCCTCATCACAGACTTCCGCCCTGACTGTCACCCCACACCTGCCCTCTGTTTTGCCCTGGCTCTGTGCAAGTCCATGTCACCTTGCAGGGCTTCTACTGTGCCATTATGCCACAAGGGATCACACAGGGTCAGCTGGGCATGTGGGGGATGTGGAGGAGCAGGGGAGACAAAGGGGTACCAGACTCTCTAGGACCCTTCTCCAGGCCAGCCACTCCCTTTCAACCTGTCCTGCAGAGCCCTGGGCCACGGTGCCTTTGGGGAGGTGTACGAGGGACTGGTAGTTGGCCTTCCTGGGGACTCCGGCCCGCTGCAGGTGGCTATCAAGGTGAGAGGGAGTGTGACTTCTGGCTGGGGTAGAAGAGCAGGGCGCCAGGGAGGGGAAAGCAATTACTAGAGCCAGGGCTAATCCACCCTCCTGAAGTGTCCAGGGCAGCTCAGAAACTGCGCTCTTCCTCCGCCCACTCCAGACCTTGCCAGAACTCTGCTCTCGTCAGGACGAGCTGGATTTCCTCATGGAGGCGCTCATCATCAGGTGCACCTGGGCCGGGGCAGGGGCGGAGGGTGGGAGAAGCCGGGACTGCCTGCAGGAACAGCCTGTCTTCACCCTGGGGCTGAGAGGTGGCAAGTCTGGGGACACAGAAGTCCTCTCCAGTTTTGTGGAGCCTAGAACATGGTTTATATCTCCCTGCTGGTGATGGGGTATGGGCACCACCCACCCAGCAAGTTTAGCCATCAGAACATCGTGCGGTGTGTGGGGCTCAGCCTCCAGGCTGCCCCTCGCCTCATTCTGCTGGAGCTGATGTCTGGAGGAGACATGAAGAGTTTCCTGAGGTGTAGCCGGCCACACCTGGTGAGACCCTTCTCTCAGCCCTCCAGACCCCTCCAAAGACCCTGTCCATGTGTGCTGAGACCTGCATGGATGGACATACCATCTTCTTGACCCAGGGCCAGCCATCGCCTCTGGTCATGCAGGACCTGCTGCAGCTGGCCCAGGACATAGCCCAGGGCTGCCACTACCTGGAGGAAAATCACTTCATCCACAGGTTAGGAGCAATCCTGGCTTGAGGGACCCCCCTAGCCCAACTTCCTCAGGAAAGAACAGCCCTTCCATGTAGCTTTTAAGGAAATAGATCAGGAAGGGCTAGAACTTCTGCATTCTGGGAGTGATATTTTTGCCAAACTCTACAGGGACATTGCCGCCCGGAACTGCCTGCTGAGCTGCACTGGGCCAAGCCGAGTGGCCAAGATTGGGGACTTTGGGATGGCAAGAGATATCTACCGGTGCGGGGCTTGAGGAGTTGGGAAAGCTGTTGTTCCAAGTGGGTTTATCAGCACCCTTGGTGGTATTTAAACAATTCACCACTCCCCTCCTCCCTCCTGTAGGGCCAGTTATTACCGAAAAGGGGACCAGGCCTTGCTCCCAGTCAAGTGGATGCCCCCAGAGGCCTTCCTGGAGGGCATCTTCACATCCAAGACAGACTCCTGGTGATAACACACCCTGCCTTATCCTCCTCTCCCCTGCCTTGAGGCTAATCCTATCTTTTCTGGGCCACTCTTTGTGAGGGCTTTTCTGGGCTGCCCTGTGCTAAGGGTCCTCACCTGGTTCCCCTACTCGTGATGCAGGTCTTTTGGGGTGCTGCTCTGGGAGATCTTCTCACTGGGCTACATGCCCTACCCTGGGTGCACCAACCAGGAGGTGCTGGACTTCGTCATCGCAGGGGGCCGGATGGACCCTCCTAGGGGCTGTCCAGGGCCTGTGTGAGTTTAGAGTGCTGCCCAGGGAGGGAGGTCCTTTAGAACCATGGGTAGGCACAAACTTCTGCCTCTTCACAGGTACCGCATCATGACCCAGTGTTGGCAGCACCAGCCTGAGCTCCGCCCCAGCTTTGCCAGCATTTTGGAGCGTCTTCAGTACTGCACTCAGGTGTGCCCCCTGACCCACACTGACTATCTTGGTCTTAGGGGTCAGGAGGGAAGCCATAAAACAACTCCTAGCCCTCTGCTCCCCAACTCTCCTATTACAGGACCCTGATGTGCTAAATTCACCCCTGCCGGTGGAGCTGGGGCCCACCCTGGAGGAGGAGGGGGCTTCTGGGCTGGGGAACAGATCTTTGGAGAGCCCAAGATCCCCACAGCCCCAGGAACTGAGTCCAGAGGGTGTGACAAACTGGGGAGGGAGCCCTCTTGGCTCCTGGCTGTCCTCTGGCCTCAAGCCCCTCAAATCCAGGGGCCTCCAACCTCAGAACCTTTGGAATCCCACCTATGGCTCCTGGGCCCCAAGGGGTCCTGAGGTCAAGGACTCAGGCACTGATGATAGCAATGGCTCCTTTCTGCACTCCTCAGGCTTCTAAGTCGCTTGTAATTCCAGTAGCCTCTCTCCCCTGCAGTCTGCGTGTCTGGGCCTGTCTCAGGGCTGGCCTGGCAGCACTGGACTTTCCATGCTGGAAACCAACTCCAGGCCTCCTGGGGAAGGGCCAGGCCACTTCTAGCTTTTGATTTTGGGGACCAGAGGCCAACCCCCATACCCCAGGTGTCCGTGAGGAGTCCTGGATTGCCTTCTCCTATGAACATCCTTCATCTGAGCAGTCCCCAACCTCGCAGATGCTTCTAATAAAAACCTCTTCTCACATCCTCCAGTGCTCAGAATGGATGTGAGGGATACTGGAACTGAGGAAGAAGGGACCAGGAGGGAGGGGATGAGGCCTGAGTCATGGAAGCTGGGTCTTTGAGTTTTATTGGGAAGGGGAGTCTATTGTAGTCTAGGCGGTTAGACCAATAGGTCTAGGGCCGCTCAATAAAATTCATAATCCAGCTCCTCTGGAGAGAGTAGGACCTCCTCAGAAGAGCTGGGCTGAGGAAGAAGCTTTTGTTTCCTCACATTCTGTAAATTAGTGTCATTCTGCTCTGGGAACGCTGGGGCCTGTGTGGGCGCCAACCCTGACATCGGCAGTGCGCCCCTTGGTGGTTGGCACCTGGCCCGTCAGGACCCTGTGAACTGCCCCGCACATCGGGGTTCCAGTCTCTCGCTGGCATGCACTGTGGGGAGGTAGCCGCAGGTCCACATGTCAGACCGGCCGGCCCACGTGGGGACAGGAGTCCAGCCTCATCTCTCGGCCAGGCTGGCCAGGATGCCAATGAGATTGTCCAGCCCCAGCAAATAGCCATCCTCGCGGTTGCCCTCCTCCCAGGGCAGCCGGTGGTCCAGGATCTGGCCGTCGGGGAGGGGCGTGGTTTTGCCGAAGTCGATGAGCCACACGCCGGCGCGATGGCAGTGATCATGCACGAAGAGGAGCGAGCTGCCGATCACCTGCCGAGCCCCACACAGTCAGGCCACAGCCCCTTCCCTGAGCAGCCCCGACCCGACCCCCACTCAGCCCTCACGGCGGGAGGCTTCTTACCTCGTGCCTCCTAAAGAACTCGGAGACCTCCAGGGTGTCCCGGATCTGCTGCAGGCGGTTCAGATACCTCCTCTGGAGAGAGTAGAAGAGGAGGGCAAAGTAAACGCCAAGGGAGCCCCTGCTAAGGGTTAGGAGCCACAATGCGTGTTCCACTCGGCAGATACCGTCGTGAGGAGGACACGGCCCCCTCACGGCGCACGGCCCAGAAGGAACATAAAGCAGTTACAACTCCATGAGATAAATGGGGTCGCATAGGCGAGGGCACTACACGGAATGACCACGGGCACCCCTTCATTTCAGGATCCCCAACACCTCAGGGTTCTGGGATTCCGCGCTCACCAGCACTTCCTCATCTCCTTGCACAAACTCCTCAAAGACCCGAATCACTTGCTCCCGGCTTCGCGTGGTCTTGAAGTCTGTGCTACAGGAGCCGTCCGCTTTCTGAAAGAGGAGGGACAGGAGTGCCAGGGGGCCCGGACCCGCCCAGGGGGAGAGGATCAGCCTAGGGCAGCGGTAGCTCCGGGGGCGTTGGCTGCTGGGGACGGCCAGACGGCCGGCAGAGGGCGTCACGCCATGTTGGTGGTGGTGGTGGTCGTCGTGGTGGTGACAGGGCGAGGGGCGACGACAAACCGAGAAGGACTCTGCGCGGTGGGGCTGGGGCGGAGGAAGGGCCAGGGCGGCGCAAAGCGAAGCGGGCGTGGCCCACCTTGATCCCCTCGATGCGGAAGCCAAGCGTGGTGCTAGAGCTGATGCCTTCCCGCCACTGCATGTAGCGAGGCTTGGTGACCGCGCGCTGCGCGTGCTCCTCCTCCGTGGGCGCCGTGGGGTCCACCGCCAACATCTTCTTGTACATGTCCTTCCGCAGCTTCGGCCGCTCGCGGGCCTTGGTCAGCTCCTCCTCCAGGTAAGTCCTGTGGGGGTGCAGGCACCCACCAGGGCATGAGGGGACCCACATGGGCACCCCATTACACGCTTGTTCCGGTCCCGGTCCCCAACTCGGTCTCCGCCCCAGCCCGACAGGGCACACGTACCTGACGCCCATCTTGCAGTCAAGCACGCAGGGCCCGTCGAAGCCGTCGAGCAGGTCCTGCAACTGCAGGTAGCTCTCGCCGTCGCGCTCCACCACGCCGTGGAAGGTAGGCACGCAGCCGCGCAGCGCGTCCGCCATCAGCCGCGCCAGGCAGTAGCGCTCTGGCTCCGAGCAGCGCTTCAGGATCAGCCCGCTTGTGCCCGCCGCCTTAAAACTCCCTGCGGACCCGCACCAGTTAGCACTGCCCGGCCTCCTCCTTTCCCGGCACCTCCCCGCCCAGTCCGCGCGCGCCCCGACGTTCACCTGTGTGCCCTGCCAGCTGCACCCAGGCGTAGCGCTTCTTGAAGGGGCTGATGACTGGCAGATTCACCATGGTCCGGATCTTCTGCCAGTGGCTTTTCTGGAAGCGACAAGGTCAAGGTCTGCAAGTCCGCGTCTCAGAAATGCATAAGCCCCTCCCTCCTCTGAAACAGGGAGCTGGATGATTCATTCATTCATTAATTCGTTCATTTACTCAGTGAAGGTTTATTGTGCGCCTGTGTGGCTCAGTGATGGTGATTCCAGCTTCTCCAATCGGCTGTAAAGAGCCCTGGACTTAGGGTTAGAAGGCTCAGGTTTGCACCCCAGCTCTGCCACTCAAGAACTGCCTGAGCAGTTTACTAAACTGCAGAGGTTTTTGTGAGCATCAGAATAACCTGATGGTCATCCCTTGTTGAAAGTTGCAGATTATGGCCGGGTGCAGTGGCTCACTCCTGTAATCCCAGCACTTTGGGAGGCCAAGGTGGGAGGATCACTTGAGCCTAGGAATTTGAGGTTGCAGTGAGCTATTATCATGCCAATGCACTCCAGCCAGCCTGGGTGACAGAATAAGACCCTGTCTTTAAAAATAATAATAATAAAAAAGCAGATAGATTCTCAGGTATACCTCTGGGAAACTCTGAGTAGGTCTAGGGTGGGGCCAAAAATTTTGCATTTCTACCCATGCCTAGGGATCTTCTGGACCTGAGAAACAAGCCTCTGAGTATCAGTTTCTTCATCTATAAAATGGGGAAATAACTACCTTTATTGGGCTGTTGGGGTTAGTAAATGGGGTTTGAGTGTGACAAGCATTTAGCTCCCGAATCCTATTCCTTGGCATGAAGCATAAGCTGGACAAATCTGGATCATGGATTCATCCACTTGGGACCTTGGTTCCTCTCATTTAGGGAGACAGACAAACACAGAAACGTGGTTTACACAGGCCCAGGGCAGGGAGACCAGAAAGGGCCTGGAGAAAGAATGGCTTGGGACTCGACTCCCCTAGACCCTCTTGCTGTCCCTGGATTCAATGCACCCCTCACTAGTTGGCAAAGCCCAAAGCACCTTTTGTTGATCTGGATCTAGAAACCTAAGCCCTGAAAATGGGATGCAACCCTGAGGGCCTGCCATCTTAGACAAAACTGGTAGGGAAATGTGAGGGTTTTTTGGTGTACCCCTTGCCTCATGACCATTGCATCTGGGCTCCACCTAATCCTGAGAGCATCTCATACCCTGAACCTTTTCTTTTTGCACCCCAAACTCAGCAGTCCTGTGTCTCTCTGCAGTACACAGGTTTGCTCATCTAAACTGCTTGCCTGTTAGAGGAGTTGTGCATGTGTGCCCCCACAGGACTGGAATCCAGAAACCACCCTCCCTGACAACAGAGGAGGGAGGAGCACTGAGGAGGCAGCGTAAGTAAAGGAGGCTGCTGACCATAAAGCCCTTTCCCATGGGGAGGAGATGGAAGCTATGACAGAGTACTGGGTGGGGAGTCAGCAGTTGGTTCCGGGCCTGGCCCTGTCACTTTCTAGCTCAGTGAACCCAAGCAAGTACTCTCATCTGTGTTGACCTGGTTCCTCTGGGAGGACGTAGCCGCTGCCATAACACAAGGCACAATTTACTGACTGCCTATTTCACGCCAGGCACTTTCTCATCTCCCATCAGACAGCATTGCTCCCACTTTCCCACTGAAGTCCTTACATGGCACACTAGGGTGTGATCACATGTCCAATCCCTGGGGATCTGGGGGTGTAGCCAGAAGCAGCCCACTAGAAGCATGACATCACTTTCAAAACTCCTTTTTAAAATCTTTAAATACATACAAGGTTTGCATTCTGCTGCATAATAAATCCAAGTTTTATTATAAAACTCCCCACCTCCAAATCCTCAAGTAAAATTCCAGGAAGATGATGTATGTGCCATGTATATTCAGAAGCACCACCTGATCCCCCTTCTCCCACACGGTTTGGGAATCATGATCATGAGGCACATGCACAGCAAGTGCATGAGGTGGTGTTATTACTCCGTTTTACACAAAGAAGTCAAGGCCCAGAGGAGTTAGCATCCCCTCACTCCCTGCCTCCAGCCCCCCAATCTCTGGCCCAAGCTCTCTTACCCCAGAAGGCTCCAAAGTCCATGGTACCAGCCTGCCTCCTTTTGCAGGGTCAAATGGAATACTGCCTGAGAAAGAGCTTTGTACAAGGGGAAGTGATTTGGAGCCATAAGGTGGTGTTTTGATCCCTGGGGAAACCCTGAGACCTGCCTGGGGGGCCCTCTCTACTGGCTGGACACCTTTGCTTTTATGCAAAGGAATGGGTTTAATGGCAGGCAGCCTTAGGAGCCTTCTAGAAGAATTTGCCAGATAGTAAGACCAGAATGGACTTAGAGGATACATTTTGTTCCTAGTGGAAGAGGGAATGAGCTTTGGGTAGGTGGGGTGAGAGAACTGCACCATCCTTCCTTCTGGAATCATGTGGAGGCAGTGAGAGGGGATGGGAGGTGGAAGGTAGGCCTGGTAGACCACAGAGAATTGCTCCCAAGCTGAGGTAAAATGGGGTCAACACTCTCTCCACTCTAGTTTTATTTTTATTTTTTATTTTTGTAATTTTTTTTTTTTTGAGACAGAGTCTCGCTCTGTTGCCCAGGCTAGAGTGAGTGCCGTGACGTCAGCCTAGTTCACAGCAACCTCAAACTCCTGGGCTCAAGCAATCCTTCTGCCTCAGCCTCCCGAGTAGCTGGGACTACAGGCATGTGCCACCATGCTCGGCTAATTTTTTCTCTATATGTTAGTTGGCCAATTAATTTCTTTCTATTTATAGTAGAGACAGGGTCTCACTCTTGCTCAGGCTGGTTTCAAACTCCTGACCTCAAGCAATCCGCCCGCCTTGGCCTTCCAGAGTGCTAGGATTACAGGCTTGAGCCACTGCGCCCGGCCTCCACTCCAGTTTTATGCATCTCATATGAGCCAAGAGCAGCAGCAACTAAGGATGGTTTTAGGAAGCAGGTGACAAAAGGGCTTTCTTACCCATTGTCTCATTGAGCTCTCCTGGCTACCTCGCTAGGAGACAGGATTTAGCTGCCCTCCCAGTGATGGATATGGTCAAGTAGGGAAGGAATTGATGCACATGTCAAGCAACTCAACTCACTGCCATACCCATATGTTCCCTGAGATACCTCCCCCAGGGAACATAATGCATTTAAAAATGAATCTATTCACAAAGGCTCCTGGAGAATCACTCTTTAGAGGGTGGGTGGGGATTTTGGCACATGAACAACAGCAGGGAAGATATTTTTGAGCAGGTAGGACTTTTACTGTATAGAGATCAGAAAGCATTTATTATGTTACGGAGTGAAATCTAGCTGGCAAGGTGGCCCAAAGCCACATCGTGTGGCCCAGCCTTCCCTCCATGAAGGTGTTCTCTCTGGGAAACCAACACGCAGCCAGAGGTTACCTTGGCATCTTGGGGCAAAAGCCAGGAAAGCTGACCCTGTGGCAGTCTTTGATGAAGTCATAGGAGGACCCTCCGATAATTCCTTACTTCTAGGGCTAAACAGGTAGTATCTCTACTTGGGCGAGGCTTAGCTGGATACTAGTCTCAGACCCTTCTTTCTTTAAGCTCCAGGTGGAAACCTCAAGGACACCCGTGTCTTACATCACAGCAGACACTCAGCATATTTCCTACCAGAGCAGATCCTTTGCTGTCTTTGGTACTCACCCTGCTGCCTGCCTCCAGCCATCCAGTCTCTGGTTGAAGCTCTCTACCATCCTGCACCCTCCCCATGTTCCAATTGCCCTGTCAAACTAGCACTCCCTGTGGTGGTGGTGGTGGGGGGGAGCAATCAGTTTAAATTTGTAAAATGATTTGCACTAAGGTATAAGTGACCCACGACTTCACCTTCCCGTGGGCATTTGCTTTTTAAAAAGGAAATCTGTTAACCTAAATTCTGCTCTATAATTAGTGGAAAGTGATGTGTGGGAATTCTGAGTCCAGGAGGGGAATGTCATCCAGGTCTCCTTACCTATCCTGGAGCACTGAGAAGAGAAAACCAGACGTGTACAGGAGCCAAACACCCTCCCCTCTGCTAGAGCAACACCCTGCAACTGTTTTAGGAGGCAGGCAAGGCCGTAGAGTCATGGCAGCTGCCCTGGGGGACAGGGCTCCTACTACTCTCCTGGCTTGTTCAAGTTTCCCTCCCCAGGACTTTTCCTTTTACCAGAGAAAAGGCCCCTGGAGGAAGGGAGGCTGCCCAGTCCCAACTACCCAGCTCTAGGCAGGCTGTACAGTGCTCCTAGGAGGCGAAGGGGAAGATGTATGCCTTGCCCTTCCGGGCCTCCATCTGCCCAGGCCCGAGTGTGAGGGGCTGGCAGGTTGGGAGTCCCTGAGTTGCGCCTCAGTGACCTTCCCCCAGGTGCATCCTTCACAGTCCGCGGCGGGACGGGCTCTGCTTCCTGCCTGGGGAAGCCCTAAAGGCGGCCTGGGCGGGCAGGCCGCGTGTGCCCAGCCGTGAGGCAAAGTCCGCTCCAGGCCCTCCCACGAGGACGCAGGCAGCCTCTGTCAACAGCCCCCGGCTTATCTGCCTCTGCCGTGGCTGTTTGCCTTCGGGGAGGCCCCAGCGGGCTGGGGGTTGGGAAGACCCCGCCTTGGAGCTGGAAGGGCCCTCAGTGGCCATCTGCACCAGCTCCTGGGGGCTCCGGGAGACAGTGAGGACCAGCGTGGAAGAGGCGACCGAAGACACCCAGGACACAGCTGAGGCTGTCTTGACCTCAGCCGGGGTTGTCTACACCGCACTCAGGCTCGGGCCCGGGACCTCCTCCTCGAGTAGTCCCTCCCCCAGGCACTCGGCCAGGTCTCTGCGGGCGGAAGAGGGAAGCGGGGCGTGCCTGCGCCCTCAGCGCCCACACTTGCTGCGCCCGCTCGCCGCTCGCGCTTCTCAGGTGTCAGAGATTTGAGCGGGGGCGCAGCCCACCTACAGCTACCGCTCAGGTTTTCACGACGACAAGGAGTGGGAGGTTGCTTTCGCTGCCGCACATGCCACTGTCTTGGGACCCCCTCCGCGGCATCTACCCCTCTACATAGGCCAGGGCTGCGTCAGAAACGTTTCGATCATGGGGCAGGGGTACCCTGACCCGCTGTGGGAGGAGAGAGGAAGGCGGCAGGCTCGTGACTGAGCCCTGGGCACCCTACACCTGGCGGCAGGGGTGTTCTTGCTTTGCTCCCCTCTTGTATCACTCACAAACCCCACCGCCCGCTGGGTATTGTAAATCTCAGGAGAGTCACTGAATCATGGAGCCAACACAAGTCGTTACAGTGTCTCCTCCGACTGGACTCGTCCAATCCGAGTGTGCGGCGGGAGCCTGGTCCAGAAGGCCCAGGCCGAACCCCTGCGCTCTCCCCGCGGCGTCCAGGCAACCCTGGCGAGCGCCTGCGGCTCTCCCAGCCCAGCCTTCCCGACCCAAGCTTTGGGGCAGGGTCGGAGACACCTCGGCTTCAGGGACACTTGCGTAATGTGGATCTAGAGCAAGTCCTTCGCGCTGACTGCGGGCAGTTATTTAAGGTATTTGGCCTTGGCTAAAACGAGGGGGACAAGGAGGCTGTCCTGGGAGCCGCACACCCCTACGGGGCGGGCGCCTGGAGTGATTTCTCTTCATCCTGGCCGGGGCTTTCCGAGGGACAAACCTGGCCCCGGAACATCCAGGCTACCAGAGGCAGAAGCTAGCAGGCTGATCCCGCTCCCTTTTAGCCTCAGTTTACCTTCCCCTGACCATACTTCGGAGCAGCAAGGCGGGGAGACTGCGGGGGTGGGGGCCTGCACCAGGTGGGCTGCGTCCCGCTCCCTGCCAGAGCTCCCAGCCCTGCGCCCCTCCCCTGCGTCCACGCCTCGTGCGGGCGCCGGGAGCAGACGGCAGCGGCTCGGAGCAGAGCCTGGAGCGCCGCTCCACTCCCACTCAGGAGAGGGAAACCGTGGCAACGGCGGGGGTGGGGCCGCGGCACTAGAGAGGGGGCGGGGAGCGAGGGAAACTCCTCCGCCCTCTCTCCAAGGGTTCACGGGGCAAGGCTAAGCCCCTCCGATGCCTCCACTCGTACCTCACAGTCTACAAGGTACGGTACCCCGCCTCGCCCGGTCCGGCGGCCAGTCGTGTACTCTTCACCCTCCTTCTTAGACGCCCCCGGCCCGGGCCGCGACCTGCCTGCAGAGCGCCGGTGAGAACTGCCAAGGCGAGAGGTCAGCCTGGCGCCTCCCTGCGACCCCCACCTTCCTTCTAAACAGTGAGAATCGGACCCTCCGCGGAGGGAGGCAGGGACAGAAGTCGGTCCCGGAGAGCTCCAGGCTGGGTCCCCAGCGCACAGCCCCCGCGCCCGGCGCTGGCCCCGCCCCCGCGGCCCGTACCTGACCCACGTCCTCGCTGGCTTCCAGCTGCACGTTGCCGCGGCTCCTGCTCTCGCTGTCGCTCAGCAGGTCGTCCTCCGAGTCCTCGAGTACAGACGAGGAGCCAGTGGAGGAGAGCGACGAGGTGGAAAGGCGGCGCGGCTGCTGCAGGTGCGACGAGCCCACTGCCGGGAGGCAGTCAGCCTCCGGCTCGGGCGGCCCGGGGCTGGCCGGGGGTACGTCCGGTTCCTCGGCTGTCACGGTCAGCTGTGGGATCACCCGGGCAGAGGGAGCCCGCGGGAGCCCGTTGGGGACCTGCCCCCCACGCCGCTTGGCCCCGCGGGCCCGGGGCTCCCCTGCAGCGGCGGAGGCAGCCACCGCGGCGCAGCGCGCCTCGAAGAGCAGGCGCAGCTCCCCGACACTCCGGCGCGGGGCCCGCTCCAGCCCCGGGCTGCAAGGCCCCGCGCCCCCCCGCCGCGCCATGCTCGTCGGGCCCCCGGGCAGGGTCATTTCCCGGCACCGGAGCCGCAGCGGAGCCCACCAGCCCGCGGCGCGGCGGGGACTGGAGTCGCTCGGCGCCCCCGGCTCGAGACTGCCCCGGGGCGGAGCCTGCGCGCTCGCCCGCCCGGGCCCCGCCTCAGCCGCGCCCCCCGCCCACTCCTTTCACTTTCAGAGAAAGCGCGGGCCTCCTGGGGACCTTGCCCAGCAGGGAAGACTCTCGCTTGCTCCTCGAGGTGGCTGGGAAGTCCAGACTCCATAGGCACAGAACCTCGGCCGGCCAGGACGTGGGAGGGGCCGCCCCGCCCCGGGCCTCACTGCGTCCCCGGCTGCGGGCCGGGAAGGATTCCTCCCCGCGGCTCCTCGGGCCCGGTCCCCGCGGGCGAGGAACTGGTCCTGGCCTTGCACCCGGTCCCTCGGGCTCCTTTGCTCCGCTTTCCATCCAAGTCGGGCAAAGGCTTCCAAGTCTACCGGGCTTTTCTCAGGCCCGGGCCCCTTAGCACAGAGTTCAAGGCCACCGACCTCCCAAAGAAGCAACACCCCAGGGCGTGCCCCCAAGTGGAGACTGTCCCAGGGACGCGCTGAGGTTGCTCCCCCCAAGCTCCCCACTTCCCGGCGGGCAGAGAGCAAGGTCAGGGGGAGGGGCCTGGATCTCCCCACGTGTCCCAGCGGAGTCGGGGCAGCATCCCTGATGCTGGCTGGCCGGCGCTGAGCCCTCCCTCCTCCTCCTCCTCCTCTTTCGGACTCGGAGCCTTCAAGCAGGTCGTTTCACCTCCCTGGACTGCTGCTCCTCCGTTGCAGGGCTGCTGTGCGCCTCGCTGGATTGCTGTGAGAATAAAATAAAACAAGAGATGCGGAATCTAAAACGTGAGGATAGTTTTCAGCGTGGTAGTAGAAATAGCCAGTCTGAGGTCCGCCCCACTCTGGATGTGATTTTAGGCAGTCCCTTCGCACTTCCGAGTCCATGTCCTCGTTTGTAAATTTGGGAGGACCTCACCTGACCCACAGAGCTGTGGCCGTGAAACTGGGAAAAGAGCGCTGACGTTGAAGGGTTTCATCACTGCCACGTGCTTGTCAGTGTCCACGCTGCGTGGATCTCCCGCCACTTTACGTGTAGGTGGTCAGCTGAAATGCAAGGCTGCTTTGAGCAGAAGCCAGTATTTTCTGTCCTCCCCCAAAAGCCAGGAGTGAGGATCCCTAAAGCCGGGAACCTAGCGGGGGTTGGGGCAGCAGCACCCCCAGAAGGATGGCCTCAGCCTGACGGCCACAAGGGGGAGCTGTCCTTCCCTCATCTGCCTTCAGCCCGGACTCAATGATGGCCCAGGAGGAGGAAACCCGAGGGTCCAGGGGAGAACAGGAACCTTCAGCAAAGAAGAAAGAAGATCCTGGGAACTGAGGGAGGAAGCAAAAGAATGGAAGAAAGAGGGGGAGAAGGGAGGAGGAGAAATGGAGGGAAGGCAGGAGTGAGAGGAAGAAGGAAATACAGGAGTTTGACTCTGGCACGGAGAACCTGGGAAATTATATGTCCACCTTCTCGGGGTACAACGGTCTGGAGGAGTCTGGGTGTTGGTGTGAGAGGCTACTCACTCCACAGCTCAAAGGCCCAGAAGCACCCATGTCTCAGACACTCACTTTCCTCCCTCCTTTGGAGCTACACCAGGCTGTGTGGCAGGGGATGGGAAGATGCTTCCCTCAGAGGGCGGGCTGGGGGCAAAAGCAATGTGTGGGGGAGAGCCAGGAAGGACCTGCCGGAACCAGACAGGCAGGAGGGGAAATGAGGAGAGGGACAATGCACTGAGTACCTGCACACCAGGCAATGAACGGGCAATGTTGGCAGTACGAGGAGGCTGTGCACTGGGTCTCTGTCCTAGCTGCCAAGAAAAAACCTAAGGACAATTTCTTCTTCTTCTTCCTTTTTTTTTTTTTGAGACAAAGTCTCGCTTTGTTGCCAGGCTACAGTGGAGTGCCATGATGTCAGCCTAGCTCACGCACCTCAAACTCCTGGGCTCAAGCGATCCTTCTGCCTCAGCCTCCGATAGCTGGGACTACAGGCATCGCAACCAGCCTGGCTAACTTTTTCTATATATTAGTTAGGTTCCAATTAATTTCTTTCAATTTATAGTAGAGACGGGGTCTTGCTCTTGCTCAGGCTGGTTCCAAACTCCTGACCTAGAGCAATCTGCCCGCCTCGGCCTCCCAGAGTGCTAGGATTACAGGTGTGAGCCACCGCGCCCGGCCTGGAACAATTCTTGTAACAGGCACTTGCCCAAGTCTTAGATCCACTACACCAGCAACCAAAGATTTGCCCTTTGCCATGCCTGCTCAGGTATCCCTCACTGGAGAACGCAAACTTGGGAATGGCTGCTGAACTAAAAACCAAATCTGTAGATTTTTAGAGTGGGAAGGGGTCTTAGATGCATCCTATCCTCCTAACTCACATTAAAGAGGTCAAATGGGCTGGGCATGGTGGCTCATGCCTGTAATCCTAGCACTCTGGGAGACCGAGGCAGGTGGATTGCTTGAAGTCAGGAGTTCGAAAACAGCCTGAGCAAGAGCAAGACCTCGTCTCTACTATAAATAGAAATAAATTAATTGGCCAACTATATATATAGAAAAATTAGCCGGGTATGGTGGCGCATGCATGTAGTCCAGCTACTCGGGAGGCTGAGGCAGAAGGATTGCTTGAGCCCAGAGTTTGAGGTTGCTATGAGCAGGCTGGACGCTATGGCACCCACTCTAGCCTGGGCAACAAAGCAAGACTCTGTCTCCAAAAAAAAAAAAAAAAAAGAGGTCAAATGACTGAACTAGGGAGTTGTGGAAAAGCTAGTGTGTCCAGGCTAGGACCCCTGATTTATTTCCCTGTGCTGTGAAGAAAACAATTTCTTTCGTTAACATCTTGTAGTTCTTTATGCAATGAAGGCAGAGTTTGCCTTTACCTACCACAGGGGAAAAACTGAGATTACCAACATGAGGGCAAGGCCTGGGGGACCCAATACAGCTGTGGTACAAGGTCAGGGGCTCTGATGTCTTCTTGGTCAAGCCAGGAATGAAGTTTGAAACCTTAGAACATCTGTTCTTTATCCCTGTTTCCCCAGCCTTTGATGCTTGAACAGATGTGTAGAAAATCGGACTGACTAGTATGTAGGTGGAGGGAATGATCCCTTGTATTCTGCATTAAAAAATGGGGAAACTAGGGCATAGAAGAATGTGTCAAGGTTTGTTTTTTTTGAGACAGAGTCTTACTCTGTTGCCCTGGCTAGAGTGCCATGGTGCCAGCCTAGCTCACAGCAACCTCAAACTCCTAGGCTCAAGCAATCCTCCTGCCTCAGCCTCCTGAGTAGCTGGGACTACTGGCCTGTGGCACCACCCCCAGCTATTTTTTTTCTACTTTTAGTTGCCTGGCTAATTTCTTTCTGGTTTTGGTAGAGATGGGCGTCTCGCTTTTGCTGAGGCTGGTCTCGAACTCACCTCAAGTGATCCTCCTGCCTCAGCATCTCAGAGTGCTAGGATTATAAGCATTAGCCACCATGCCTGGGCTGTGTCAAGGTTTTGATGGTCATTAGGTGGCTGTTCTGAGATACGCCATGAAAGTCTCTGCCTTGGCCACATGTCTGAGGAAAGAACCTATCTTCCTGTGGCATCGCAGTTGGGTGAGCCTCCTGTACCATAGAGGCCTGTTTCCTGAAGTGCCCAAGTCCTCACCCCTCCCCATGGCTTTCAGGATTCATTACACCTGAGTGCTGCATCTCTCCTGGACAACCCCGGGGGGGCACAAGAGCTGGGAAAGGAGAGGGCCTAGGAAATGGGAAGTGTGGAGTTTCTGGGGTCTGGTTTTATTCCCCAGCCTACCTCATCTAGTGCTGCCTCAGCCCTACCAGACGCCCAGGGCAGCACTCACCACCCCCTGCCAGATGCAGTGACAGTTTCTGCTTCCTAAGACACAAGCAGGGCCTCTCACCCCAGGGAGGGAGAGGGCAGCACAGCCTACCTGTGCTCCTGAATGGGGCACCTGTTGCTTTGAGGAGACTTGAATGCTTCTCCAGAGGGAGCAGAGCCTCTGTGGCCTGTGTGTGCGGGCGCGTGAGGGGCTGTCAAGTTCCTCTGGATCAGGTGGTGCAGCGCGTGCAGGGCGTTATTCTAGTAACAACTCTCAAACATACTCTGTGGGCTTGGTGTCCTTCCAAGGGACTTTCTGACCCCAAGATTCCAATATTCTGTGACTATACCTGTGATTCATTCATGCACTCACAGAGCAAACAAACTTCCACTGAGCAGCTGCTGTGAACCAGGCATTGTGCCAGGTGCGAAGGGTGTGTTGTAGGAATAGGGGCTCCTGTGGTCCCTCACCCCCTTACTGGGAGTGATAGTGTAGCATCAGGCCTTGTCTTATGGAAGAAGGAAACCAGAAAGGACCCAACCAGAAAACAGGCCCCAGGATGCTAAACGACTGCCTTTGCTGATTCCCAGGGTCTCTCTGATAGAGAGACCCTGGGAATCTCGGTCTTAGCTGCTTCATGCGTTCAAAACATTCCCCAACTCCCACCAGTCAGTCTGATGCCCTCCTCTGCCCAGGGCACACTAGAGAGGGTGCTGGAGGGCTGGCCAGATACTTGAGGATGGGGAAGAATCGAAGGTCTCCTTTCTCCTGGGAAGTGGTGAATGGCTGTCTTCACCCAACAGTTGAGCCCTCAGCTCCCAACCAGACCCTTTTCCTTACCCCTGGGTTTCTCCTTTCCAGCAATCTCTGATCCTAGAAATGGACAGACTAGACTTTGTAAGAATATTCTGGATGCATGCAAAGATAGTTTAGCAGGGCTCAGGATCTAGCAGCATTCACTGACCCTCCACAATCTGAGTCATTCTTGGCCTAAAATGAAATGTGCCACCACGCCTGTGTATGCACAATAACATAGTCTCTCCTGATAAACTTCAGAAACAAGGTTCCCCTCTTTCTCTCCAGAACTCAGACCTGCAGAATCTCTCCCAGTGGCGAAGCAGAGGGGACCGCGAGGGCCTGAGGTCAGGGACTCGAGTGTAGAGGCGACTGCTGTCAGAATGTCCAAGATGCTGTAGCCCTCCCTCCCCCAAGCCACCGCCGGGAACTTCCCTCATCCTGCAGTCCCGGGGCCAGAGGGCGGAGCTCCCGATCCCTTTGTGATCTCTGTGACCTCCACTCCCGGCGCGTGGTGACCGAGACCACAGAGCATCTGGTGGCGGGGCGGAACCAGGAGCCACGCGGAGGCTGCCCGCAGGCCCGGGGTCTGGGAAGCTAGTGACCGCGCCCCTCCGCGTCGGCAGCGGGGACACCTCAAGCTAGGCGCAGGCGAGCCCGACTCCCGGAAGCCGCCGGGACCCGCGCCCTGCGGGGTCCGAGCCTGGAGCCGCGAGCGCGCTGGTGCAGGCTCGCCCCGGGCAGGGCGCTCGGCCCGCGGCCCCGAGGCCGCTGGGCCGGGTGTGGGCGGACAGAGGCGAGGCGGGGGCCTGTGGCATCCTGGCTCGGGTGAGCAGGCCGCCGCTGTCTGCCGCCGCCTTAGACTGAACCCAAAAGACGGGAAGTCTTGGCTGCTGCCGCTGGTGGCGTCCGGGCTGCGGGCCTCGTTCCCGGGTGCGCGGCGGCGCGCGGGGCCCGGGGCAGACGCGCGGGGAGGGGCGGGGAGGGCCCCAGAGCGCGGCCGCGGCCGCGAGGCCGCTTGTCCCCCACCCCCGCCGGCTTTCCCGGGCGCTGACTGCGCGGGGACGGGGAGGGAAAGGCCGGCGCGAGCAGCCCCCGGGCCGGGACACACTCAAGTAACTGTACCGCGTGGCTGCGCCGCGCTAGGGCGAGCCGGCGGGAGGTGCGCCCGAACCCGAGTGGGAGGGGAGGTCAGGGAAGGCTTCCTAGAGGAGGCCACCTCTCGCACTGGAAGGTGAGGGGGCGGTCAGCAAGGAAAGTCGATGGAGAGAAAGCCGTGCATTCCCGCCCGTGAATGAATGTGTGCGGTCTCCGCAAGCGCTTAGCAAAGCAGGGCCGTTCACAGGTAAATGAGAGAGAGGAAAAAAGCCGCAACAATTTAAATATCCAGTATTTTGAAGAAGATACTGGGGTGGTCATCATGGGAAGGGTCAGACCTTTGTTGGACTTCTTTACACTTACTTTCCAGTTTGGTAGTGTTTTGAGTTTGAATTACTCTTGGTGGTGGTGCGTAGGTCGGGCCTCACAGTCTGAACCCGCGGTAGCGGTGGCGAGGTGGCAGCCTTCAAGGCCTTCACAGTGGCAGTCAGTAAAGGGGGTGTGTCGGGCAGCTGCAAGTAATGACAGGGCCTGGCCCAGAGGCAGCCCACTTTCAGCTGACAGTTCCTCAGGCCAGCCTCAGAGCCCACCGGTGGGAACATCAACCTGTAGGCGGCTTCTTGGCCCCCGAGGTTGGGGCCAACAGGAGTCTCGGAGCCAAGTGCCCCAGCTCCTGCTGGTGCCCTCTGACCCCTCCATCAGCCGGGCTGCCCCTCCATTCCAACCCCTGGGGTACCACAGCTCTGCTCTGGCACTCAGCGCCTTGTGTTTTCACTAATAGTATTTATTGAACACCTACTGGGGACAGGAACACTTAATATTGAACATGATCCTGATAGGTTATTTTTTTTTCAAAGAGGGGGAACTTGGGGCTCAGAGGATTTTTTTTTTTTTTTTTTGAGACAGAGTCTCACTTTGTTGCCCAGGCTAGAGTGAGTGCCGTGATGTCAGCCTAGCTCACAGCAACCTCAAACTCCTGGGCTCAAGTGATCCTCCTGCCTCAGCCTCCCCAGTAGCTGGGACTACAGGCATGTGCCACCATGCCCGGCTAATTCTTTCCATATATATATTAGTTGGCCAATTAATTTCTTTCTATTTATAGTAGAGATGGGGGTCTTGCTCTTGCTCAGGCTGGTTTCAAACTCCTGACCTTGAGCAATCCACCCACCTCAGCCTCCCAGAGTGCTAGGATTACATGTGTGAGCCACCGTGCCTGCTCAGAGGATTTAATAGCACAGTCCTAGGCAGTAAGTGGTGGAGCTGGGATATGAACCCTGCATCCACCCCGGGGTGCCTTGTGGTTCTCTCTCAGGTCTGGAAGCCCTACAGTTGCCTATGCTCCAGTGACCTAACGCCTACCCTGGCCAAGAAACTCCATTTCCAGGTTCTGCTCCAGGTGAGCACTGGGGCTGGCCTGTGGAAGCTCATAGAGAAGGTAGGCTGCCTTCTGGCCCTCCCTTAGCACTGCCATTGCCTCTAGCCCTCTACCTCCCCAGCCCGCCAACACATACACCCCCCCCCAAAAGAGCTCGGTAGCCCCCTTTGGTCCAGGAAATCTGGAAAAAGTCTGAGCTGGTGTCAATGGCTTCCTAGAGCTGCTGGAACGCTGCCACCCATAATAACCCTAAACAGTCTTCCCTCTTGGAGGAACCTGGCCAAGGAAATAAAAGTTGACCAACCCAGCACCCCTCTTCCCTCCACTTGTGCCCCAGGTGATTAGCTAGCTTGCTTCCCAGAGACAGGTAGCAAGTAGCTGCCCCACAGCACCTGGATCCTGAGATATAAGCAAGCTTTGTTGTCATCTGCCCAAGAATCCCTGCTGTCTAGGGCCCACTGCTCCCAACTGTCAGGTAGTGGGAATGATAGGGAACTGGAGAAAATCTCATTGCACACACTTGTGGGGTAAGCTGGGTACTCACCTCTTCAACACTAGAGGCAGTCTTGGGCCTGGCTCCTACCACCTTCTCCAGGATCTTCTTGCTTCCTAGCTAAAATATGGTCAGAGACTGGGCGTGGTGGCTCAGGCCTATAATCCTTGCACTTTGGGAGGCAGATGCAGGAGGACTGCCTGTGCCCAGGAGTTCAAGGCTGCAGTGTGCCATGATGATGCTACTGCATTCCTGCTGGGTGACAGAGTGAATTCCCTGTCTCAAAAAGAAAAAAAAATATGGTCAGAAAGAGTTTTGAGACACAGCCTTGGGCACTGAGGGTGGGGAGCCCTTACAGATCTCCCCAGCTTCAGGGCCTGAAGAAAGGACATCAGTTTCCTCCATAGCCAAACTCACAGCCCCTGGGGCTGCCCCTTCACACTCATGATAAGCAGGAAGGAACTGTGCCTAGCCCAATGAAAGTTGGAAGGACCAGGGTTAGGCAGTGTATTAGGGCCTATCTATCTCTGTTAAGGCTTGTTAGTCTGTTACCAAGATATGAAGTATATACCAGGACAATTGGAGGCTGCCCTGGTCTAGGCAAGTACTCTACCAGGTAGGCTTCTGGGGAACCAGGCTGCTGGAGTTAACAATAGCCACTTTTGGGCCAGGTGTTAAGCCCTTTTGGCCAGGGCTAAGATTACAGGGCCACCTGTAATCTTAGCACTCTGGGAAGTTGAAGTGGGAGGATCACTGGAGGTCAGGAGTTCGAGACCCCATCTCTACTAAAAATAGAAATTAGTCGTGTGTGGTGGCATGTGCCTGTAGTCCCAGCTACTCGGGAGGCTGAGGCAGGAGGATCACTTGAGCCCAGGAGTTTGAGGTTGCTGTGAGAATGTCATGTCACTCTAGCTTGGGCAACAGAGAATGTCTCAAAAGAACACCTCCGCCCCGCCCCCTCAAAAAAAACCCCCCAAAAAACAAAAGAAAAAACAGTCACTTTCACTTTGGAGGATATAGAGGGAAGAAAAGGGGAACAAAGGAAAGAGCGAGAGTGGTCCTTTTGGCCTTCCAAAACATGGCTTTGAGAGTTGCCCCTCAGGATGCAATCCTTGGACTAAATCTGATCCCCTTGTCAAAATGGCATAAAGTTTATTTACAAATCTCTGTATAGTTTTGATTGACAAGTCAGGACTTCACAGAAACAAAAACATTATTTTTGATGGGAAGTTGCAGGCAGTAAACTTTCCCTGAACTTGTCAGAAGCAAGACAGACCTATATACATCATGAACTAGGCATATGGACACTGGCCTTTTTCCTTCTTGGAATGAACTGAAAAATATATAAAACAATCTTGGGTGCTGTACCCTTCAATGTTGAAACCACACTGGGGGGAAGGAGGGGACCACTGAAGCAATTCCCCAGCACAAGAAATACTGTGAACCACCAAAAACCCCTTGCTGGTGGGACAAAGCCAATGTCTTATGCCTGGCCAAGAACTTGGTTCACAGGCCCTGCCTCAGCTGAGACTGCAGGCAAGTCCTTAGTCTTCATCTCAATCACCAAGTAGGTCAGTCAGGTGGTGAGTTAACTTCCAGCCTTCTTTGGTTGGCTTTCCTCCCTGCTCTGTGCTTTGGCATCTCAGAATGGTTTCAGTGCTGCATGTGGAGATGTAGTGGCAAAGTGGCTACAGTGTGATGCAGTTTTAATAAAAATTTTATTACACAGCCATAATGTAATTGACACTTCTCCAAATCCAAACGATACTAAATACAGATCTACATGGTGGATCAGAATGACTCCAGCAAATTATCTGGATTCTATGATTTTATGTCTTTTAAAACCAGAAAGAAAAAAAGTCCAAGGTCGTCATGATAGGAGAGGTCCCAGCAGCTCCAGGACTCTGCTGGAGTCCAGGCAATGTTTAACAGTCTGTGATTCCACATTTACACAATAGTCTATAAAGAGTTCTGGTCAATGGACTATTCAAGTATATATGATTTTAATGAGTCCATCACCACTCCTTTGCCCAACTGAACTGTGTCACAGCTACCACACAGCTGTGTTACAGTCATATTTATCAATTTTACACAGTCACAATACTTTAAAACCATCCATTGCTGCTTTTTTAAAAAATAAAAAAATGTAAACTAAGTTAAAGCAACACTGAGGCTCTACTAAACTCAGAAGAGTTACCAAGTTCATTTTTATATTTAAATACAACTTAACTCCATGATTTCCCATCATCCCCCTTCCTTATACAAAAGTAGGGTGAAGAAGTACAAAGCAGAGCTTGTAGATTCCTCTCCCTCTTGTAGAAACCGGCAGCTCTCAGCTGTTTCTTTAGCTTAGTTCTTGGTATATATAGTCAGCTGTACTTTGTTCTGAAAAGATTTGTTAAATGCCACTCTTATTTACACTTGGAGCTTTACACCTGAGAATGATTATCAAGCAGTCAGCTTATCTCTTTTCAAACATTTCATAAAGACATACACACCCCTTTGCTGGCTTCACCCTAGCTGCACAATATATATGCTTACCATATATATA